AAAGATACTAGAACCAAGATTTTTCCCTCTACTATGAGGGGAGGTAAGGAACTGCCATCTAGCTTTGTATTTGATTCACCTTCTGTTTTGAGTAATCTTTTTTTTTTGAAACTCTGTTTTGAGTAATCTTGCGACACCTACACCTGCTATTGATTCTGATATGTCGCATGTTATTGATGATGCTACTTCTACTATGAATGATGCTTATGATGCCACTACTTTTCTTGATAAAACTGTGCAACTGGGTGAATTACTTGATGAACATATTGCTAGAGTTAGAACTATTGATTATGCTGAAGATGATGATATTTCTAAAACTGATGAAATTATTAAAACTGGAAACTTTAAACACCTGATAAGACTAGCTCTCCTAGATATGAACTTCCTATTATGCCTGAGGATTATGTTATGGATGGAGAGGTAGCTAGGGACTTTCTTGCTTGTAAGGATAGAGATGATCTTAAGAAATTATTATGCAAGTGGAAAGAAAAGTCTTTGAATGCTAGAATGCAATATGATCATAAGTTTGCTACTTCACCTATCTTTGTTACTGATAAGGATTATGAATTCTCTGTCGATCCTGAGTTAATTACTTTGGTTGAATCTGATCCTTTCCATGGTTATGAATCTAAAATTGTTGTGGCACATCTTACTAAATTGAATGATATAGCCACCCTATTTGCTCATGAGGAAAAAATCACTATTACTATATTCTTAAGTTGTTTCCTTTCTCGTTAAAGGGTGATGCTAAGTTATGGTTTAATTCTCTTGCTCCTGGTTGTGTGCGTAGTACCCAGGATATGATTTACTACTTCTCTGGAAAATGTTTCCCTGCTCATAAGAAACAAGTGCTTTAAAGGAAATATTTAACTTTGTGCAAATTGAAGAAGAGAGTCTCCCACAAGCTTGTGGGAGGCTTCTCCAATTACTTAATCATTTTCCTGATCATCCTCTTAAGAAAAATGAAATACTTGATATCTTTTATAATGGACTAACCGATGCTTCTAGGGACCACCTACATAGTTGTGCTAGTTGTGTTTTCATGGAACAAACTGTTGAGCAAGATGAATTGCTATTGAATAATATATTGAGTAATGATAATGATTGGACACTTCCTGAACCAACTCCTAAGCCAACTCCAAAGAAAAGAGGTATTCTATTTCTCAGTGCTGAAGATATGCAAGAGGCAAAGAAATCTATGAAAGAAAAAGGTATTAAAGCTGAAGATGTTAAGAATTTACTGTCTATTGAAGAAATACACGGTCTTGATAACCCAACACAGGTAGTATAGATAAATTCTCTCTATAGATTTGATGAAGGTGATATTCCTCATAATAAGTCTGCTAGTCAATGCTTGGATGATTTTGATAAATTTATTGAAGAAAACTTCAATGCTTATGTTAGTAGACAATTGAAATGTAATGCTTACATGCTCGACTGCTTGAGTGACTATATGAGTAGAACTGTTAGTGATCTTAAGATTATTAGTAAGCATGCTTTCATGGTGAAAACTCAAGTAGAACAAGTACTTAAGGCACGGGATGATTTCCTCAATCAGTTGAATAGTAAGAACAATGATAATGCTGTCAGGGTTATGACTAGAGGTGATAAAATGACTCAGGAACCTTTGTATCCTGAGGGCCATCCTAAGAGCATTGAGCAAGATTCTCAAAAAACGAATACTGATGCACCTAGTCCTCCTAGTAATAAAAAGAAAAGGAAAACTGGTAGGACTTTGCATGCTTCTAGTGAACCTGTTATAGACACACCTACGAATCCCAATGATATTTCTATTTCTGATCTTGAGACACAATCTGGTAATGAACATGAACCTAGTGCTAATGTTGATGATGATGTTCATGTTAATGTCTTGTTGAGCTCCACCATTGCTACACCTCATTTTGCTCAATACTCTCAATCCCTCCACCCAAACTTGTTGGAACTTTGGGGATTGGGAGAGCAAGACCCGATCTACATCTTGACCAAACCAAATGGCATTCCCCGCAACATTTCTCCCCATTGACTTGTTACTCTTGGAGCTTGGGCTCCTAGGCGGTTAGAGGTTCCTCCGAAAGCTTCCTTGCTTGTGGTGTGCTCCGGAGAAGTTTGTAAAGGTGTGGTGGTCGCCATCAAGACCAACCCCAAGTGATTCGAGGCTCACCCATTGGGGGTGACTCGAAAGAGACTATGGTGAGTCTTCGTGGTGTTCCGCAAGCTTTGGATCTGGCACCGCTCTAAACGGAGAGTAGCTCTTCCTCAAGGAAGAGTGAACTTCGGGATAAAATCTGTGTCCTCGCCTTACTTGTGGTTAATCCTTTCCCGCACCTTACTTTTGCCTTTTATGCTTGTTGGCTTGCTAATTAGATTGTTGCCTAGCCTACCTTGCTTTAAGCTTGCTTGTCATATAGGTTGTGGTCACCTAGTTGCATATCTAGTGAACCCTATTTATCCGCTAAACCTTAAAATTGACAAGAAAGATTAAAATTTGTAGTCTCCTATTCACACACCCCCCCCCCCTAGTCGACCGTATCGATCATTTCAAGTGGTATATTAAACAAGTAGCAAAATAAGGCAAATCTCTAAGTGAATATTTGAGATCTGCTGGGAGATTGCTAGAATATTTGGGCTAGGCCCAATAGCTAGACCATAAGAAATCTCAAAGCCCCCTTGAATAAATAGCAAGAAGTGGTGTAAATCTTTAGTTCCATACTTCTAGTGGAGGAGATGTGAGGCCACTTTATATAGTGGATTCTCCTCAGTCCTCACTGCACCTTATGATGAGTAAGAGGAGAGAAAGAGAACAGCATGCACTCGCTCGCCTCGCGTGACCCGGCTCAGGTACGGGCCGAGGCGAAGGGTGCGGGCGTGCGACATGCACGTGAATGATTCGCCAAAATCCGCTCCATGGCCTTGGAGGACTGCAGCTCTCCTTTGTCATTCTATTTTTTGATTTCTTGGCAGATAAGTTGATTGTTTTCTTGTCCGGCAGTTTAGGACTTGGAAATCAAGTCGGTTTGAGATCATGATCGCTACACGATACCGAATGGGTTCTTCTATATATATGACTGACCTGTCGCAGGCAAATATACACCGGAATAAGCTACGGTTTTTCCTCCTTTCTACTTCATACCGGACGCTGGCGTACACCAACGAGCGGGAGAGCGGGTCTCTAGAACCTCTCGTCCTTGTGATCCTACACAAGGAGAGGGTGAATTCGGATTTTGGGGAGCACTTTGTGCGACTGCTCGCGTTCTTCATGATGGTTAGTCTTCCATCCAAGTCAGGCGAAGCCGAGTACTGGCGTTTGCAGTGTCATCTCCGTCGACCGGTCTTCACCAACTCATCGTCTACAACATTGCTTTTGCAGCAGTCATGGCTACCAACAAACAATGGTGTATTGTGATTTGATCATGTCTATAATTATGGTTGATGTGTATGTGCGCTGTCGTTGTTTTGTTCATCTAGTATGCTAGAGCTATGCATGCTAATTACTGTTCTAATCATGAATTATTTGCGGAAAATAATCATGAATTTGACTAATATTCCAGCAGTCCTCCTGATATATCTTGTATACCTATGTCTATGAACATTGATTAAGTCTCTTCCCCCCAAGAAAAGAATCTTGACGCAGTGTCTAATCGGACGGTCATGGGTGTGAATGAGACACAACTCAATTTCAGCTAGTTAGGTTTTAGCAAAACCGTTCGGTGTAAATGGAGATTGAGTTGGATGTCCTTCTTTTGGCGAAATATCGGGATGAATGTTGACATGCACAAATATATAACATTTTCTCATGTATTCATTCCTATGTAGTGACTTTTTTGTTTAATTACTCTTGCATGTATGGATAGCTCTCCCTCTAGATTACATATATAACATGTTTCAACGTACTAATTATTCTTATGTCATCAGTATTTCTAGAAATCGTCACAAATTTGATTGTGCCATAAGTGAACACGGTTTCTTCTTTGTAAAAATAGTCGAAGAACCAAATTGTTAACGAAATATGTGGTTGTTCGGTCCATATATAATTTAATTCATTTAACTAAAATTCAGCACCAGTCGCTATCAGAAATTTAGAATAGCTAATAGTTTTCGGAAAATTCAGAATAATTAGTTGTAGTTGACTGATTGATTGCTTTAACAAACTTAAGCTTTCCTGAATTAGCTGTATCAAGCAGACCGTTTCCCAAGTGAATTATTATTCCGATCCTGGGATATCTTCACGTAATATCGTAGCCATAAACTATTTGTACACGTGAATCACAACCCAAATGTCAACTCTAGGGGGAATATTACATATTTACACCAAAAATTGGCAAAGAAATACACTCACAGGACCACCGCCCTGCGCAAGGATACATTTGCAGAGTTCAACAATCAAGTTTGTTTACATATCCATGGCCAATCTAACGGTATCATTTGTATCTGGCCATTTCAAACAAATTTTTTGTCAATTGTCAAAGGTAGAGAAATCTGATGGCCCAACCTTTTTCTTTTCTGAGTAGATATTGAGTTATTTTATTTGGTTGAAATTTTCCATGTTGATCTGATATATTGAAGTTGCGCAATCACACGAGTTGCATCTGATATATTGAAGGAGTATTTGAAAGATAAGATAGCACAAAATATATCTCACAAACTTTAGAAAAAGTTCTACTATATGTTACTAGCTAGCTAGCTGGTCCAGCTAGGTCAACTCTGGCATCCCCACAAATTAACTCCGACGCGCAAAAATAAATAAGTTATTATCTCATGCATGGTCCCAAAGAATCAGCAGTATCCATTAATAATTTACCAAATAGAAATGCAAAAAATGCAATCGGTGATCTCAAAAATAATTCTATGCATAAAAAAATCTTATAATAAAAATTGAGCAATCCAGGGTCAAAACAGTGTCGCATCCATGCAGACGCAACGGAGTCCAGATATTGGCTTATAAAGAAGAGCAGCACGCGCAGGCGCGCACGTCGTCGGAGCTAGCTTGGCAACGACCGACCATGGTGATGGCGGAGCCGGAGGAGACCCCGAGACCCCAGAGGCCGTCGGCGGGCGGTGGCGCCGTCGCCGTCGAGCCGTCCCCGCCCGCGGCGGCGGCGCCTCGGTGGCTGACGGTGTGGTGCAAGTCGCTGGTGTTCCGCGGCGACGGGTACGCGGTGTTCGACGACGCGGACGGCCGGATGGTGTTCCGCGTGGACAACTACGGCGTCGGCCCGGGAAGCATGGCGCTCATGGACCACGCCGGCCGCGTCCTCCTCACCGTCCGCCGCCGCCAACGCAAGGTGATCACTGATCGATCGGGTAGATCTATTCTACTCATCTACTTGTTTTTTGGCTACTGGTAATATACATTACACGCGCTGATTAGTTAGCTTCGTGCATGACATGAACCCGTTCGACAATTGGCCGCATGCAGATTCTGAGCTTGATGCCGGAGACATGGGAGGTGTACAATGGCGACGTCGACGACGACTCGAACTCGAACGACGGCCACAGTGAGCCGCACCTCATGATGAGAGCCATCAAGGACCTGGGGAGGTCCAGCTGCACCGCCTCCGTGCTTGCCGTGGACGAGCCAGAACTCTACCGCCTGAGCTGGTCCCGGCAGGAGGAGTGGTCGAGGATCCACCGTCGCAGCTCCACCAGCGACGAGACGCTCATCGCCGAGGTGCGGCGGAAACGAGGGGGGCCAGAGAAGGCGACATTGCTGGGCAAGGACGTGCTGTCGCTGGTGGTGCAGCCGGGGATGGACCTTGCCATCACCATGGCCATGCTCATGATCTCCAACTCGTACCGATGACCCCGCCCCGCCCGAATCGCCAGGCCAACAAATGTTCATGCATATAGAAGCTTCTAGAACATTTCGGAGGTTGTAGAAGAAGAAGCACGTCGGTATACCTATTGTAAATCCCCATATTCTTTGGCATTTCATTTCATTGTTGCATTCATCCTTCCAGAACAGTTGCAATGTAAACCTTGCAGTGTTGCTGAAATACTGAACGGGTCTGCTAGTCTGCTACCATTTCATCTAAGGCCACACACCATGTTCCCAATAGAGATACCAATAACATGGGGAAGGTAGGCAAGCAACGCAAAGACGTGCACAGCACAACACTAGCCAAACAAACATCACCAAGTGTTTACTTCCCAGGGCAAAACAACTCACATGCTACAGCTAATTTACAGATCCTACAGATTCTTCCTCCCCTTCTTGTGTGACGGGTTTGCGCCATTGTCAGTATGTAGCAGCATTGTCATGCAAATCACGGCGAGAACAGCCACTGTAGCTATAGGCTTACAGCTGGGTACTCGCTGTGCCTGGCCGCAGCCTGCCTGAATTCATCACACCCCTCGCAGTTGTCTAACATAGGGAGAAAATTGTATCAAGTACAAGGGCAATGTCTATGGATAGTTAACCGATCCCGAATTGGAAGAGCTTACCTCAAAGAAAGAGTTAAAGTTCAGTCTCATCAGAAACTGCCTCAGGAAAGGTGCTCTCTGACTTCCCGCAAGTCGACTACTCCTTAGGATAGTGTACAGCGAATTTGATTTCTTGTTGAACTCCTGAATATCACCAATTGTATGTAAGTTTATGCTACATATACTAGGAAACTGAGCAAAAAGCTGGCTAGCTTAGACATCCATGAGTGATGTGCCAAGCACTGGCATGTCCCTATTTGTTCACAGAAGGCCCATGGTGTTAGGTGGGACAATACCTCAGTTATGTGATCAATCTCAAACATGTTTGCGCCTGTTTCGTATTGCTCGATACTCCAGCAGAACTGCAAGCAGAGCTTCATTATACTGTCCAGTATTCTAGAAACTGATCCTATATCCAAGAAGGACTGTGATATCAATGCCGACAAATAGCTGCAATGCAAGAGGTTATAGTCAGCCAAGATACCATAACAGATTAAATCTGTTGCGGCCGTGGAAATTCAAAGGTAACACTAGTTGTGGTAGTATTTCCATGTAACTAGGCAAGGAAATCACTATAGTATAATTAAGTGGCCAGGGTCGACTAGACAAAAGTACAGGGGAAATTATTGCAACCTGTAGAAAGGGCTAAAGGCTTGTTTGGGACTAAAGGCTTTGTTGTTGTTGTTGTTGTTGTAGAAAGGGCTATGCAAAACCAAAACATCCATCTATATAAGCTTCAGATAATAGACAGCACCAATATGCAATGAAACCAACACCATTTGGTGGTGAAGCAAAAGAACAAGTTGGTATGAAGTATGAACACAGATCCATAATGTTTCCTTATCTTCTAGGATCAGACCTTATGAAAATATTCTACTCAAAAGAAGATGAATGTGTTGTAGCATGGATTCAGTAAACAGTACACTATCAAATAAAAAGCTTAACCTTCCTATCGGGAAAAACAAATAACAAAAGTTAGACAGCATAAAGTGAAAAACAGTTGCTTACTCTTGATGAAAGGTCACTAGTTCTGTAAAATCATGCGAGTCTTGAACGTGAGTTTGTAAAACATTCCACTGTGACTCAATTACATCAACCTGCAAAAGGAAGTCAATAAGAGGAAAAGTGAAAATTATCAAACTAAACAAATTTCTATTAACGTCTAGAATAATTTTGAAACTAGCACATTCCTAGCAGCTATCTGGTCAAATGCTGTCATGTTGTAGCTTCTCGTTATTAAGCAAACATCATGTACATCCTCCGAATTATTACCAAAGGTAAATGGTAGTTTATCTGGTTATTACCTGGATGTAGAACTGTAGGTTTCTGATCAAGAAAGCCATATGCTCCCTTACTCGCCAAAAAGGCTTCGTGCGTAACCGACGCAGTTGTGTTGCAGAGGAATTCTTCCGATCCTTGCAATAATCAGAAAAATCAACATGATCTTGATGCATTACAGCTGTCCAGGATTTCTCCAATTCCATTTGTGTCCTCTTCAACCGAATGAGATACTGAAAAACTTTGCGATACCTGGATACAGTTTGTGTATCTTAGAAATGGGAATGTAAAAAGCTCAAAAGACTTCCCCTGACTTCCCAGTTGAGTTTAGCAAGTCTTGATGTAGCTTTTCAGGATATTAATCACACTCAAAACTCAAAGATCTATGGAATTCAAAATATAATCATTTTGTTGAGAGTAACATACGAAGTACAGCACTTACTTAGAAAGAACGTCAGGAGTAAAGAAGAGTTGTAGTGGCCAATCGACGGAATATTCCAGAGCAATACTATGCCAACCATCAAGTGCCAACTCTGAGCTAGCCTTTCCTTGCAAGGAAAGATCTGATGTGTTGGACTTCTGAAAATCTTTCTGTGATGTACTAGATTTCATACCAAACAGTGGCATCCTACAAAAGACAAACAAAATCAGTTGTCAATGTACAGTACTGAAATTCAAAAATGGCTTGGCATCGATTACTCTATGTGCCAAACAGAAATGCTAACCTTAGAGATACCCTGGTGAAGTATTTGTCTTCATCGCCTATAGTTTTCAGCGCAGCCTGCAGAATTAAGAACAGGAAATAAATCAAACCTATTTGCTAACATGAGGTAACGCAGCAGAAAACAGAACTCAGCAGGATTCTGTTAAGTTGGTGACAATTAAACCACATGATAAACTGAAATAATAAAATTGTGTATCTGTAGGTCTTTGGCAACAAAAAGGGGTTATGTCACTTACCAACTGAAATGGGACAATGAGATCTGCTTCAGCTGTAGATTGACGAGGTGGTAAGCGCATTAATTGACGGCTTTCCTCAAGAAAACACTGGTTCAAAATCATGATTTTGAGTTTCCGAAAACAACCAAAGAAGGCACTATAGCACAATTTGCACTGTACTAGCGCAACCACGGAGATACATACATGCAAAAGAAGGAATACAAAAGGTATATTACCTGGAAAAAATCACCTTTCGCCAAAAGAAAATAATCTTTAAGTGCCTTCAAGTGGCCATTGAGATCAGCGCGTACAACCACTAACTTTTACCAAAGAAAACAATCGGTGAATCTCATGTGCAATAAAACATTGATAGAATATAATGCTTTAAGCCATCTAATACCTGCCAAAGATGGTTAGCTGCAATTGTACGTATTGAGCTAACAGCAGACTCAAACAACCTTTTATGGAACTCGGAAGCATGCTGCAGAAACAATATGGACATATGTCAATAATGCTCCTCCCATAAAGGATAAGGATAAACGAAAACTTTGACACACAAAACAGGGAAAGATGCATACAGCAATATAAGATGCTGATTTTAAATATTGCAAGCAGAAAGCTAACAACTAACCTTTAGCTGCTTAAGCATGGCATCAACTTTATCTGCTTCAGCCTGTGGCAATAATTCTTCTGCACTAATGTTAGAGAAGTTTGGCAGCTCCTTCAGAGCACCGGAGCCCCCCGTGAAGCTTTGCATTCTATGAGATCCTTTCAATGTCTGACTTTGGTTGGTTGGTTCCAGCAATGTAGCACCAGGACTAGGGTTTCTAAGAACCCTTATTGCTTTGCCAGCGAATAGAATTGATTCTGCAACTCGCATGTGGATATACTCCGGCAACATGTCCTGTCAAGTGAGAGAAAAACAGATATAAATAGCTAGGGGAACATTTATTGCCTCATACACATGCATTTCAGAATAAGAGTATAAGCATACCAATGATACATGAAATCCTGAGTGCCAACTAGTAAGGGATGTGTCTTTAGCTAATTTCTGCGCAAATTTATCAGCAACATCAGACTGAGCCGATTCATTCTCCTCGTCTCTGTCAACCTGTCTGAAAAGAAAGGTAAGAAGTTTTATATTACTCTGGCTCAGGGGCTCAATTAGCTTATTTTTCCCTCTTTTGATACTTTCTTGGTGCCCTTAGTTCAAGCTCCTCTGGGTTTTGGCCAAAGGCCTGCCCTTGTAAATATTGTAACATGTAACTTGTCTTCTCTCGTTTATTAACTTAAGACTGTAGGAAACTCTCCTACAGTTATTTCATGTTCAAAAGAAAACTAGTAGTTTTCATGCAAAAGGCAACTGATACAATTCCTGCTATAGACTGTTGGATATAGAGATACTCAAAATCATTAGACAAAGCTCCAACGAGCAAATTCTCGTGCATATCAGTTGACAATATTAGACTTTTTGTGAATCATAATTAGAATTCTCACAGAACTGTTTGCTGATTAAGGGGCGAAATTATAAAATAAAGTAAATATGCACAACAAAATATAGAATTATTCATATTATAACCAAAACTTCAAAAGCACTCGGGATATGTGCTCCTATAGTTGAAATTTCACATGCCATTTAGCAGGCCAAAATGTCTAACTGGATATGCCGCTATAATATATCAGAAGCAGCAACTGGATAGGAGAATAGCAATGACAAAATTACAAGATAATTTAATGGAAGCTCTGTAAGTCATGCTGACCTTCTGATGAAAAATTCATGGTACTGATCTTGAAGAATACCATAAACCATCCAAGAAGTCAGCTGGTTAAACATGACCTGGTGTCCATGCCAAAGCAGCCTATTCTTATTTTTACCATCAATAAAAAGAAAATGAATAAGCAAACAATTGATCATAAGGGGCATAAGAAATATGCAGTGAAGTAGTGGCAATGAAAATAGAAGTACAATGTTTCCCATGCAAACACGAAAGGACTGGAAATGTCAGTTATATTTCTTCAAAAGCCGCATATATATAAGAATAATTGAGGCAATACCTCTGAATGCAGCTTTGCAATTCTGGAACCCCACAATGGCATCTTTTATGTAACAGGTTAAGAAGCTGTCCTCCCTTGATGTCTTTCTGCTCGATTTCCATAACAAGCTCATAAAGTGGAGGCAGAAGAACCTCAAACTACAGATTCACACAACAGTGAATAGGGTCGGTGTCAAAAACCAGACTAATCACATCAGATAATGCACGCCGAAGGAATATAATATTGATCTCTGTGCAAAAGCTCATAAAGACAGTAGAGACAGTACTTAACAAATGTTGTAAATGCAATAGTTAGGTCCATGGTTGTGCGGAAATTAAAAAATGACACATGGAGACAGAAACTGTAAGTGCAAGATGTCGAAGAACAGACCTTATTTAGCCCATGGGTTACTGTCGCCAGGATAGGCAATGGGTCTGACAACAGGTTTTGCTCAACCTGCAGAACAGCTGACCTATAAACTGATAAAATCTCAGCAATACCATTGGCAATTGCCCTCCGGTATGCACTCCCTTTTCTCACTTTGCCCTTCAGAGTAATATCAGCATTAGGTGATGAAACCTCAACAGAAGACTGAATCCAACTCAGATCACGAGACTCGGTCGCAAAACGATTCAGTTCTCTGTAATAAAATCCCAGAGATATGAGCCTTTCAATAGCACTCCTGCGCAAATGGGAAAAGCCATTTAGTATTTGGTGAACCATGATCTAATGACAAAACATACTTTCTTCTATCTATATCTTGCTTGCCAGGCCATGTCCTACAGCATTGATGACGATTCTAAGAACTAAATGCACCAAGATGATTGCTAATACTTCTGGGCACTGGAAACTTCTATACATTGAGATTCTGATGTAATATTCCTTCCTATTAGATACGACTTCTTGTATCCAGTAGAGTACTTCGCAGTTCACGCACAAAATGAACACTTACATGTAGAGCAAAAGCACTGTATATGTATTAAATATGAATATTTTCAGGTACAATTGTTAAGTAGTAGTTTTTTGTGTATTTATCATGTAAAGTGGTCGGACCCTTCCCTGGACCCTGCGCAAGCGGGAGCTACATGCACCGGGCTGCCCTTTTTTTTACATTTGTTAAGCAGTAGTTTTTGTGTATTTATCATGTAAAAGAGCAGATTGGGTAGACACGGAAAGCACTAAATGTGCAATGGATGAACCTGTAAATGTATGTGCTTGCTTCTGAGGTGCATTCATCTCTATCTGCTTAACTAGTTTAAATTATCTACCAAACCTAGTTATCTACAGAGGTTGACGAGAACTAAAGTGTGAAACATTTGAAGCTCTTAAGTATAGACTTGGACTACTGAGGCTACATTTCTACGAAATATCTCATTTCAGAACTTGTTAGTTTGTCCCTTAGTTGAAGCCATACTTCTCGTAAATTCAGCATGTGCCAGTGTCTTACTCCATCCCAATGTTCGCACAGCACGGTCAATCATGGCATTATGAAATTCTGTATCAACTGATACACTTGCGGACCGACTGGTAGGCATTATTACAAGCTAAATGATGAAAACGAAGCAATTTGGTCCAATCCTCCATCCACCGGTTGCGGTTAACTCTGATTTAGGCAGCCATAAAGCACTTAACGCGGGAGAAACTATGCTTACTCAAGCAATACGACCAGGGAAACAAGTCCCCTGGCTATTCATGTTTGCTTGCTTGTGCCGCATCGCATCGAATTCGACCACCTAACTACACCACAGATCGCAGACACCACGGCGCGGTTACAGATTCGCAGCACAGGACAGGTCTCGGGTCTCCCATACCTCTCTGACGGCTGGAGGAAGGTGAGGTCGGGCGCCAGGCGGAAGGCGGGGCCCACGTCGCCGTCTCCGGCGCCACCGGCTTCGGCCGGCTCGGGGCCGCGGCGGGCGGAGGAGTTGTCGAGCACGAAGTCACCGGTGAAGCCGAGAAGGGCAAGGAGGAGCTCGTGCAGCATCCCGGTCTCCCCGGGGTTCTCCTAGGGTTTCGGCGAGATCGCGAGGGAGAGAGAATGGGAAGGAGAGCGACGGAGTGGAGTGGGGGGAAGGGCGGGGACGGCGGAATTCAGGTTTTGTTTTTTGTGTGGGTTTTCAAATTATTCTTTTTTGGGGGAAATTACTTGTATTTAAAAAAAATTCTGATCCATTCATCAAACAGTGCAAAGAACACAAACAATAGAAAGTACACCTTCATAGACCACCTACCAACGACTGCAAGCACTGAAGGGAGCCGAAAGCCGGGCAAACCTTGTTGTACTAGACAGTCGGGAAGTCTTCGTGGTAAGGCCTGAAGAACCAACGCACAAAAACAGCAATCGTTGCTAATGATAAGCGTAGATCAGAAGGATCCAACCAGTAGATGCACGGATGCAAATGGACAAAACCGATCCAAGCAAATCCATCGAAGACAAACAAATCTTACAAAATCCATCGGAGTCACACACTTCGACGATGCTAGGGACCGCGGCCTCGCCTTCCTGAGCAGGATAGAAACCCTAACGAAACTCAAGAAAACACCTAAAAAGTAAAAAACAAAGTAGGAGCCTTCCTGTCGTCAAGGGTCGAGATCCACCGCGCTTTTATGGACATAAGGCCACAGGAGACAAGGCAAATCGGCGATGGCATCGACGGAAGGCAGGAAACCCTAGTCATCTTGGGAGCCTCTCGTGGAGGAGGGAAATGTTTCGATAATATATTGATCACCTAAGTGGTTCCTTGATAGAGAACATTAGCAGAAAAATATTTGTATTACTCGGGTAGCAACTCTATAATCATTCTTATAAAGTTGTATCGGATCACCAGGTCCTGAAGCAAGCCATACTATAGTACGTCTGCTGGTTCTACCACTAGCTTACATGGTGTTGGGTTCTATGAATATAAGTGATACCAGAATTTGGTTGTTCCATGAGTTGTATGATCTCATGAACGATGAAGGTATACCGGGATCTGCCCATGTTTTTTTTCCTCAGTAGATCAATGGCCTCCAAGCAATCAGGCTCAATAACAACAAGAACCTCACTTCATTGCAAGGCAAGCAAGAAACCTCCCTTAATTTGTTTTGTGTGGTTTTTGAAATTATTCAATGTTGCCTACCTTTTTATTGTTCTCATAATAAAAAAAAAATATGAAATATATTTGTCATCTGCAGTTCTATAAGACTGAAGAACATTTTCTTTACTGCCACAACAACATATGGATTTTTCATTCGCAGAGAAAAACATATGAATTTTCAAATGTTTTTGAGTCGTGAAATTTCATCATGGTGCAAATGAATACTTAGAGGGCAAAGGTCCATGAATTGCAATTATACAAATCAAACAACCATAGATGAAAAAAGTGTGAAGTTTCTTATTTTCACTTTTTTATGTTGCTAGGTAAATAATAGAGGATTTCTTTATTCAGAAAAAACACGCACAAGGCATCTTATATCTGATATTTATCATGGAAAAAAGTAGCTAGTACAATTGAGGGAGAACAAGACGCAAAACAACTTGTAAAAAAATTACACCAAAAATCATATTGATCGTCTTTTTTCTTCACTTGTCCGTCATTTTGCCGAAGCTTGAAAAATACACTAAACATATAGCAAGGGATAGGGACACCTACAAACTTCCTCGCCATACAGTGCTTTGAAGACCGCAATAACCACTCGCCAGTAACAACAAGATCCAGTAGTCGTTGAAAGAAAATTAGTTGGGGCAGCACCCCATGTAGTGTGGGCTAGAAATCATCCACCATCAATCAAGAGGATTGTAGAAACCGGATATTTTATTAAAAATTAAAAAAAATGATATGTCAAAAAAAATGAATCTCGGTCACCGTGAATGCTCTTGCAAGCCTCTACGATTTTGTAGTATTCTCTGTGAATCTTTGTTGACTTTATTAACAATGCAAGAACAACCAAGGGAGTGGTTTCTTAGCTCTTGTAGGTTCCTATTTCCTATAGGTTTTGACTCTCTAGCAACATTGACAGGTGGCAGTGACGATGATGTGTTGGAATAAGGTCTCTCCATTCTTTTCCTACCTCCATAATGTCTGATTCAGCACTGACGAAGGGCCTATGAGAGTAGGTGTTACCAAATTTATTGTCTCTCTTCAGATATTGACAATTTATGTGTCCGTTGGAAAAAGCAGTCGCATGGTTTGACGGCTTCGTCGACCTCTTCTTTCAAGTTGTTTTGTGTTGCATGGGAATGCTTTCTTGACGGTTATTAGATCTTATTTCTAGTGACGAGTAGTTATTGCATACGGGGATGTTTGCACATGTTTCTTTTCCTTATTATTGGTTCAACATATTTTTTAGACTGGGACATACAATCAAAGAAAGAAGACGACAAGTGTGATTTTTGATATAACTTCTTTTTCTGGTTGTTTTTGGTCTCATTATCTTTCCATTGTACCGTCTATTATTGTCATTGATATTATACATATATTGTCCATTGATAATTATATAATCATTTTATTTCAATTGTTGCCATTGATAATCAAACATAATCATTTTATTCCCCCCAAAAAATTATAATCATTTCATTTCAATCTATTCACATTGCATTGATGGCTTCAATAGGAGCTCATATCATCAAACCCTAAAATCACTGGGGGGCAGAACGGACAAAAGGCATCGAACCCTAAAATCACTGGGGCAGGACGGACAAAAGGCGCTTGCACGGTTAAGCAATGATGCCCATAAGCACACTCCTTTCGACATGGTAGAACTAACGGTTTTTCTATTCTTCGGTGATCGTCCAGGCATTTCTATTTCGTGACCTGAAAAGCACGTAAAGTGCAATGCATTTCTACACGATTGTACTAAACCCATGTTGTGACAAGTAGAATATGCAGTTAAGAAAGTAATGTGGCACGACGACCACATACGGCAGCACCCAAGTGCTGATATGGAGAAGACGGTGGTCTCCTATGTTGGACGGGACAGAAAGCAAAAATCACATGAAATGCTTTTACGAGACAAACCCCTGAGCAATGGACACCACCGCCACTGGGCTTGGTGAAATTTAACACTGATGGGCCATGGTTAGAGGAGGAGAGTACAGGTGGAGCTGACATGATTCTTCTGGAGCTAACATGATTCTTCGAGACTGTACAGGGGCCATCATCTTTGCCTCATGTCATTTCATCCCTCGCTGTGCAAGTGGGCTTGAAGCTGAGATTGCAGCTATCATGGAAGGGGTGTTTATCGCACTGGATAGGAGCACAGACCGGCTGCTGATCGAGACGGACTGCATGGCGGCAGCACGCATGATTACTTCCCAAGCTTCTGATAGATCCCCAACTGCTGCTATGGTGAATGACATTAAGCAATTACTGAGCTCTAGAACACATGAAATAAAGCTCGTAGGACATGCCCAGAACAAAGCTAGTCATGTACTAGCTCGCATGGGCCCATCTCTCCCTAAAACAGCTATCTGGTTGCGTTGTGCGCGGAAGGAAGTTGAGACTCTATGTCAACTTGAGTGTAATAACTCTATTTAAATAATGATTTTGTTCCTTTCGCAAAAAAAAAGTATTCAACCATCAACCAAAAAAGCAGATAGGAAATCATAACACAGGGCGAAACTTCGAATATCCCAGTTTGATTTTCAAATATGTACGAGACGGAATTCACATAAACCAAACCAAAACGTTTTCCCTCCGGGTTATTTCCTGTTTCTCCCTCGCAGAATTCTCCGGAAGTTTCGCGCGCAAACCCGGTTTAATTCCTTACAGATGGGTTTTCCCCCATCTTTTCTTACAAGCAACTCAGGTTCCAAATGTGAAGTTTTAACTTAGGTTGCCTCCGCAGGAGGTTGGCTACATCCAAGGAGAGTGCATTTGTCGATATGATGAGCCCTCGGGCGATCTATTCTCGGGCGACGACCTGCCGAGGCCGATCCACTGCCCAAAGAGTCTCCTTGGCGCGGGTGCGGGTGTGGATTCTGATGCGCCATGAGACTGCTGTGAGCTCCACCAGCTTGTCTCGCAGTCGACCGGCATCAATGGGTACGGCGCGAAGCGATCGCGCTCCCAGGCATAGAATCGGCTTCCTCCAGCTTCATCGGTGTCCATTGAACTATGGCCAGATGAACCCGGTGGGAACAGGCAAAATGTTGGGTTCTCCGGTTGTGGTGGCGGAGGGGCAGGTCGCATGCCTCCTGATCTATGAGCTCCAGCAAAAAGGCTGGATGATGAACTCTGAGTGTACTGTTCGTTGATGTTGCCATGTGCCCTCATGAACTGAGGTACCAGAGGAGGAACATTAGGAGCTCTAGATCTAGAGCCAGATCTGAAAAGAAAAAAGAAATCATCACGCATTGATATTCATGCATCACAAGCTGCATCATACTGCAATAATTTCTGCTATAACAAAATAGTTTAATTCTCAAGGGATACTTGGGAAAATGTTATTGTTTGTAAATGGTCTTATAGCCTTAGACTAGTCTAGTTTCAGACTTCCAGACTACCCGACACATATTACTACGTCATAGCATGTGCAACCAACATAGCATAACTCCGAAAACCTCAGGAGATTTAGATAAAGCTGACATGGTAGAGGAAACAATGCAACAGCATCAAATGTACTCCCTCCGTCCCATAATATAAGAGCGTTTTTGACACTACACTAGTGTAAAAAACGCTCTTATATTATGGGACGGAGGGAGTAGGTCACAGTAAATGCACAAGTCACAGCATCCTTTTTAGGGTAATACTAGCATAACACACGTGCATTGCTACGGAACTACAGAATAATTGAAGTTGTATTGGATTAGCAGTATGCAACAACCAATGGACTTGCAACACTGTAAAGAAAAACTCAAGCAAGCACGCAACATTGCACCTGTGTAACTGCACAGACATGGCAGGACTGACATTACTTATAAAATGCTTTCTCACTCAAAACATGAGCGAGGCAGTGGTTTCGTTGGTTTGATTAAACTGGGTGAAGAAGCAGGTGTGTGGTTTC